GGCTTCTGTTATTGTTTTATCTGTAGTGTTAGTGATGGATGCCTTCAATCTGCTACAAGGTGGCTTCATTAATTAATCAAACACCAGCGTTTTATCTCAGGCGGAGGTGTTCCACGGTGGTTTCCTTTTCATTCATCCCTCCGACTCAACCACCTAGATGTGATATTTATGCTTTTGAGTCACACTGTGCAGTGAGAATTTCAGCCAGTAACGGCACCCACCTGCAGTGAAGATGAATATGTAAATTTAAAAAAAGTAGGTCAGAGATCAAATTTCATCAGGTAGAATCACAGCTGAAATATTCTTTCGCCAAGTAGGGTTTTTTAAGCCAATCTGATTCTAGTGCGACCTTATGGATGACTGCCATCGTTCAGGTTTAGATGATAAAAGTATTCAGTCGCCGTTCATTTATCGCCAGGAGCATAAAGGCAAGAAGCCCTCTCAGGCCATAATTTAATTAATGCTGCCAAATGAAGGTAGGACATTTGAGCCTTAGAGAAATCCATGCTGGGGTTACATGTACTGGACTTAACACTCGGGCAGTGACAATGCCTGCGAACGTCTGCCTCTAACTCCTCCTATCATAGAGAACCAAATGGCAGGCTTAGTGGCCCGGTGTTATTAAAACTGCAAATATGTTCGAGATTAATTTTATTTTCATTACCTTGGTTTGCTTATTTTAATTATTGGCCCTAATCTGCAATTAGCCCAGAGGTCAGCTATACCCACAGCTTTGAAAAAAGCCATTGTTTTGAACAAAATTGTCTGGACATGTATTTAATTAGACTGTTAACCCTTGAAATGTCAGTGTCACTCAATCCTATGCTGTCTTATTAGAATGATGAAGGAAAAAATACTACAGACTTCACTAACTGATGAATATGAATTCATTTCATTTAACTGCTGTTAGCAAGAAAAAAGAGGATCAGTGGTGATACCATAATGGGGTCAAAGCACGCCACGATAGCCGCTTACACCGTTAACAATATCGAACGATAACGCTGCGCCCTTTCTGTTACTCCGCCTCTCATTTCTTTGTGTTTTGCTAAGAAGCTTTTTCGTCATTTCTTTAAGTAGTCTTCACAGATAGTTCAGCTTTTTGAAGGACATTCAAAGCTCTTATTTGGATGCTGGCTGCCTTTTGCTTTGTTCTTTGTCAAGATGATCGAAAATCCAGAGTTCAGGGGAGGCCAATCCATGATTTGTAATGTTCCATTGTGCGTTTTTCTTTTTTCTACTGCCAGTATTGTAAAAGGTGTGCTTTGGCGACTTTGGCAGTGTGTTTGGGATCATTGTCATTCTGAAATTAAAGCTGCTGCCAATGAAATAGTTTCCAGATGGCATCGCAGGGCGAATCCAAATCTGTCTGTGCGTTTCTGCATTCATAATTCTTTTAGTTTTGACATGATCCCCGACACCACTGGCTGAAATGCAGCTCCAAACCAAACAGAGCCCCCACTGTGTTTTGCAGATGGCTGCAGACACCCACTTCTGACTATTTGAACCGAATATTAGTATTCATGACTCCATCAGACCTGCTGTCATTGATTTTCATTCTAGTTCTTGTGTAATTTGGCAAACCTCAGCTTTTCGTCCTGTTTCCCTTAAGAACGGCTTCTTAGAAACACTTCTTAGAGTCAGGTGTGTTTTTTATGCTCGGATGATTCATAGTTCAGTGTTGAGTGACTTAATAAAAAAGCAAAAAGAATATTTGAATTTCTGTGCTGTGTACTGTTTAAGTTAGAGAGTTAAACTGACACCTGCACAGTCTCCCAGGAGGGCCTTCACAAAATTAGCAGGCTTCTTTTGTGAGACATACAGCTGTAAAACAGCTGTATGAGCACTTGTCCATGCAGTGTAATATTTTTTAATAAAGTTAATTTCTTGCTTCTTGCTGCATAATTATTCTCTCTTGTTTGAGTTTCCATGTCAGCTAATGTCTTTATCTTAATACAGATTTTAATACGCTCAGCCCCTCATCAATAGCCCACACTCCTGGGTGCCTGGTGAATACAGCCTGATGTGTGACAGCAGAGCATGAATGATACAGTAGATTGGGACACAATCCAAATGCTTCTCTTTTTACTTCACAGGAGGAGAAGTGTGCCAGTGAGGAGAGGAGGCAGTGAAGAGTGGCCACCAGCTGGCTAAAGCTCTGCCTGCTGTGGCCAAATCAGTCGCTCCAATGGACAACTTTAATTCATTCATTCTGCTTCCTTATCTTTAGAGATGAGCACATGTGTCACCAGTCACCATGCAGAGAGAAAAGGGAAGAGGCAACTTTGATGAAAAATACAAGCATGAAAAGCATACTGACAAAATGCTCTGAAAACAGTCGCTGACTATTTGAAGCTACAGAGCACAAAATATTGAAGAACTTTTCAGTCCCATTTGAGGAAGCCGACAAACAAAGTCCTGCCTCTTTAACGTCAGCTGCATTTTTTGCTTCTTCTCTGTTACCTATTCAGCACCTTGAATGCTAAACAGCCGTAATAAAACACAGGACCTTTCGTGTGTGAAATGCTTGTGAGGCTAGAAAAATCTGACAGTGTTTGCAGTAGCTCAAACAGCATGTAAATAATTATGAAATCCATTATTTATAACTGAAAGGGTGGCCCCAAAGATGTACAGCGCCTGCTCAAACACTTATCAGACACCTTCTAGTCTTACTGCACACAAATTATGAATGAAAATGTGTATACATGTCACACAAGAGCTCTATCAGATATTTCATGTGTACGGCGGATGCCCATCAAGCTGTCTCTCTAAATCAGTGGTGCAAAACCAATGGCCCGAGAGCCATAACGGGCCCAGCAAAATCTCTGAACTGGCCCACCTGATGGGTTTGAGAATGTGAAACTTGCAAAAAAATCATAAATACTTTAGGTTTTTTGGGGGGTAAGATGCACCGCCACTGAGGTGTGACGATGCCAGCATTACGAGTCCGAATGTGTGAAAAGTCAAAAGCATTTCTCTAATATTTTGTTGGTGTTTGGTCAAAAAATACTGGAAATGCACAAAGGTTTCTCTGTTCGCAGATGCACTTGTACTGTTGACAATGATCCCAAACACACTGCCATGGACTGCACATGTAAAGTGGAAAAACAAATCCACAAGCTCATTTTTCTTAAGACAGCTCGTGCAGGGTATGCCTCCTTTCCTAAATTACATGAAAGTTTTTTGTGTATTTTATATTAAGAGAAAGGGGCGACTGTGGAGCCTCTTCTTAATTGGTCATTCGGCAATGACTTTATAGCATCTGGATCTTTAACGATACTTCACCTAAATTTAAGGACTGCGTGCCACTTTATAAAAGGTGATATTTTTCCCACTTCGCTAGCGCACAAAAAAAAAACCCTTTTAAGACCCATTGGATTATTTCAAAAATGAATTATCATCGACCTCACTGAAGGCTGTGTTACTTCATTCCTGAAAAGAAACACTTTGGAGATAATGGCTTTCAACTGACATCGACTCTAAAAATCTCATTTCAAAGTAATCGCTCAACATCCTCCTGCTGCTTTTGATAACACTGTCCAACAAACTGTCTCCTTTACATTTTTCATTTTTATAGCATATTCCATAAAGGTGTTGCAGTTAGGCTGGCTGCGTTACAAAAACTAATTATTCATTACCCTGCAGGCTGATGTAATGTGCGAGAGTTTTTGGTCCATACGTTTAACTCTTTTGTAATAGAGACACTTTCTATTTGTGAAGCGGAGCAACTCAATATCTGCTGTACTGAAGGATTATGTAAAATATCAGATCAAAGGGAAATTTATAAATAGTTCTCAGAAACCAATTTATACAATAAGATCAAAGGAGTCACAGACAGATATCTGGATCATTGTCGTCTGCGGTATAGATCAATAGCAACGGGTGAATCAATGGCGGAAGCAGCCTGAGATAACTGTCCAGCAGGCCTGAGCACTTGACCAAATACAACACGCTCCCACCCCAACTATGGCTCAGGGGCTCAAACTGTGAAGACTTTGTCTGACAGCAAAGAAAAGTCTTCCTAATCAATTCACTCAGTTCGAATGCTAAGCCCACATAACCCCGCCGTCTCAGCTTAAAATTCAGCGTCTGACTATGACATGCCTTATCAATCACAGAGAACATCTCCTTTGTTCTGTACCATAAAGACACAGCCAGTTGTCAAAGCACTTTTCATCCTTGAACCCACGTCTCAGTAGAGCTATAAATAACTGGCCTCTGAAACTTCACTCAGACCCAGCTCATTAGAGCCAGGCATTACCCAGAAATAATGGCCACAATTCTTGGTTTTGTACCAAAGCGGGCATGAACACTGTCTTAATACATGGAGGTGGATACAGATGATCTGCAGAAACAGATTAAAAATCGTTTTGAAAATGAATATAAAAAAGTACGTGTCAATTTCTTAAAACCCGAATTAGAAAACTTGCACGATTAGCTTTCTGGATGCGACTCACTAACTGGGCCAAGACGAGCCTCCCTCCCTCCCTCCCTCCCCACATCGCTGTGGATGAGTGCTTGATAAGCTTTTCCAAAAGTGAGATTTAGCAGAGGGCATCTATACAGAAACTTCAATGAATAACAGTGAAGCAAAGGAGCACTTCTGAAAGAAAAGGGAATGGCAATAATAGTCAAGCACCCGGATTCTGCTTCTACTTACAAGTGGTGGTTTCTATGTGACCACGACAGCTAAAGCCCAGTATCATTCATTAATGCCCTGGCTCCTCATTACTGTCTCCTCACACTTTTGAAAGACTCATTACCTGCATAATGGAATAGTGCTTAGAACAGTCAGACCTTTCCTTAGTGTGAATTAATCATCTACATGCACCGACAAAAAGGGAATTCTCGCATTAAATATTAAGAAACTTCTTTAGCTCTCGACTTTCTCAAACTTCTGGATAGTATACTTTCTTGAAGTGCATCGTCAGGGATCGTGGATCTGCAAGGCCGGTGCACAAAAAAACATGGGAACCCAAGGAAGAAGAAAGAGATGTACTTACAGTTGACTGTGACTTTTACTCTTTTGGTGTCGGGAGAGGCAATGTCATTTAAAGCGCTGCATTCGTAGTCTCCAGCCTGGTCCTTTGTGATCCCAGTGATGTTAAGATTTTCGCCACTGTCATACTTCTTGGCTGGAAATAGAAGAATAGAGGCAAACTACTTACCACCATGTCTACACAGAATACAAACACGTACGCGCATGCGTAAGGCATTTTGTGCTGCCTGTGGTTAGTGGGTGGAAAGCCCTCATTTGTAGCAAATTATTTGTAAGTTTAAGTCTGAGTAGAAGATGCAATACAATTAGATATTGCATTGAACTCCTGATTACCTTCCTTGCATCCTAAAATAGCAGCGGACCAGCAGAGCATTGATCTATTTATATTGATACAGCGGTAGGTAATAATGGTGTATTCCCAGTCATCCGCTCATCGTTTGCTCAACCCCACGCAATGCAGTTAGAGCTGTCCCTGAAGACAGACAGATTTGATGGCTCAATGCACATGTCAGTGCTTTACTGGCATAACAACAGTGGCATGGCCCACTTTAAACATGCAAAACCACACAAAGATGTCCACTCAACACTCAAATTAAAATAGGCTAACAGAGATAGACTCACTCGGCTAATTTCTGATGCTAGAAACTGCATTAATAATAATGTGGAGAAAAGTAGAGCGACACAGAATAATATGGTTTCCAGAACAATTCGGATACAGACATCAGGAATAAATACATTAGTGGCATAAATGTGGGAATTCTTAATCATTTTATATCTGAAGGATGTAAGCTGAAAGACAGAAAGGCAAAGCAGCAAATGCTGGAAAGTGTTCAAGGCTATGACACACTTTTAGCCAAAGCGAATGAATGTAAATGAAGTTTATCTCAGCCAGCATTATGGGTAAGCCACTCATTGTTTTATTTAATGCTGTCGTTAGAATGAATAGTTGAGTCACTGAAGGAAACAAAATTAATGAACAACTATTTTAATAACCAATTAATCATTGCCGCCATTTATTTAGCACTCATCTGGAACCTGTTTCTCAGTATGTGTGCTTATGTTTGTGCTTCTTTATGTATGAATACAGCGTTTATATATAACCACAATTTCACTGGAAGATGAAATATGAAAATGACGACTCGGCTAATCGACACTGAAAATAGCATAATCTGAAGCTCTATTTAACATGTTAAACCAGCCACTTAAAACAGCGTAATGGAAAAATCTGTCCAATCATTGATAATCACGGCCAATAAGCTCCAACTGACAGCAAAGACACGTTCTGTTTCGAGTAAAATCACACCTATAAGACTGTTTAGATCACTTAGCTTGTGAGTGTGCGTGTAACAAATGGTTAAAATATCTCAGCAGGCTGCTCTGTGTACATATAAGAGAAACTGTGGTAGATTTTTCCCCAGACAACAATTAATTTCCAACCCAGTGGTGCTCAGTGTGAAATCTATTTACACAGAACCTTTCAGCCTGGTAATAGTGGTTTGGGATGGAAGATGTGTGGCCAGACTCAGAAGGCATGGGATTCAAACAGAGCACACAGTCAAGTTAAACTGAGCACAGTGTACCATACAGAAAACCACAGAGATTTAACCCCGATTTAGCCAGATCTTATAAGAGAGGAGTCGGAATAAAGACAACTTGTGTTCCAGAACAGCTGCCACTCGGTGCTGCCTGCAAGTGAGCTGGATTTTATATGTAATGCCACATTCTCCAACCCTGGTGGGCATTTTTTTCTTTTTATCTGCAAACCACTGTGTCAAAAAACTTGAAACCGAAGGAACTGTCGATAATAAGCTTTCTTGTCTCTCCTCACACTGTCGTGGTGGCAACAATGAAGTCCAAGAGTCTTGGCAAAGATATTGTGGCAACACAAACAACTGCAAAAAAAAAAAATAAATAAATAAATAAAAGGGCCAGCGTTTGAGAAAACAATCCATAAATAAGCACTGAATGTGTCTGAAAAACCACACCAGTTAGTGTGCCAAGAGAGCACATGGATGGAGACATCACACAAAGGGCTCTAATTTTGTGGAGCTGGATGGTAAGCGGCTGGGACACAAGTGAAGAGGAATCTTCAGTGGGTGCACCGCCTTTGTTTCGTTTTTGACTTAATCCCACTAATGTGCGAGAGGGTGTGCAGCAGAGTGTGTCAATATAGTAATCAAATGGTGGAGAGCACGTCTGATGTAATAAAAATGTGATTTTGTCTAGACAAGGTTACAGTACCAGGATGCAATGCACAGTATTTCCATGTGCTATGAAATTACTCGTGCAAAGATTGCAAACCGGTTTTTATTTTAAATAACACACTGCCGTTTTCTAATTTCACTCGGGCATATCTCTCATAGCAAAAGATAAATAGCAATCCATTAGATTGAGAGGCATGGTATGCTACAAAGTCCCAATGTCAACAATATTACAAGGGAAGAGGCATTAGCTGCTGAATATAAGCAGTGGGTGGCTTTCAGTAGTACCCTAATCATCTAAGATAGCTTACATATCTGTGTGGCACCTTGGCCTGATGATACATGTACAGCTTGTATTTGAACAAAGAGATTAAATACACAAATTGAAGTCATTTTTAACCACATAGTATTGTTAATGTTTCCATCTCTTAAGTGGACTTACTGAACGGAAGCAAAGCCAGAACGTGACAATTGCTTTACTGGTCATATCGTGTATTTTTCTTAGTATATTTTTTGATCGTTCTCAGCATTTGCATTTGGCAATTTGTTCAAAAGAATGAGAACGTGCTTTTATGATGTGCACAAGTGACTAGATGATTTAACGAGCAGTTTTGATCATTTGAAATGCATCAAAGCCACCGAGAAAAGCTGTAATAGCGCAGTCATTTTAATTTAAATTTGAAAGAGTTTCAGAAGGCAGAGACAGACTGCACAGTGGATAAGTTTTGTCAGCTCTGAAAACCCTTCCAACTGTCATTGTAATATAGAGTTAAAAATGATGCAATCTGCCAATTAATTTGGGGCAGCTGAATCATAATAATTTCCCCATATACCCTAATTATCATTGCTATCTGCTATCTGAGTTTTCAGACTGCTTTATAGTATCTAATTGATCATAAAGAAGGCAGAATGTTTGCTTTTTTCATATAAAATTGCTTGCATGTGTGTTAGTATTACCCACATGACACCGCTAAAACCAGGTATAGTCATTAAAATGAATGTCTACTTGTTGCAAACACAGCTCTCGTGGATCATTGCAGCCCATTAGCGGTTGCATTTTGGCTTGATGATTAGAGTTATCTGATGCTTGTTTTTATTGAATTTCTGGTCACTATATTCTTCATTTCTGGTTAATACTTGTACAGCTGCTGTTATTGTGTATATATTTATTTAGATTTAGATTTCTTCATACATTCTTATATAGTTCTATATTGTGTATTTTGTTGTACAGTTATTTTATTTTCAACTTTAATTTATATATTTTATTATTCCTTCCCAGTTAAATTTACCCTTCATTCTAATTTGTGTTGTACAGTTATTTCATTTTTAACCTTAATTTATATTTTATTCCTTCTTAGTTAAATTTACCCTTTTTAATTTTTCATATTTATTTCCTATCTTAATCATAGCCTTTTCCTTTTTTGTTTTCTTTAGGTCACGAGCAGTTGTCCAAGCATTTCACTACATATCGTACTGTGTATGACTGTGTACGTGACAAATAAAATTTGAATTTGAATTTATTGTGAAGACTCTGAGAGCTGCGCTTTAGAAATGACCAATATAAATAAACTTAATTAACAACATATGTACTATAAAGAAATGCAAGCTTCCATACTACAGAGACACACACACACCCTCCGGCTCTATGCTTGACCTCAACACTGCCCTTATTCCACAGCTTCGTTCATTGCATTCCACTATACTTGATATTAAAGACACACAGGGCTTAGAAATCCACGGTATGCACTAGTGTCTTTAATAAGGCAATGAAATCAAAAGCAGTGACCCACAAGGCCAAGTACTGCTGCTACATATTACGAAATGCTGTAGTTTCCACAGGAAAGAGCGTTTTTCCACAATCACTCACTTCCCTGCCTCTACAGGAGGTCGATTACATTAGAAGAAAAAAGAAAAAATGTTAAGCATGAAGCTTACATATTTTTCAATTCATTTGCATTCAATTGTGTTTTATTTATATAGCAATAAATCACAACAGTGACCCCCGAGGTGCTTCCTATTGTAAGGTAAAGATCCTACAATAATACAGAGAAAGCCCCAACAGATCGGATCAGCCAATATCAGGAAGCACTTGGCAACAGTGGTAGTGAAAAACTCCCTTTTAACAGGAAGGAACCTCTAGCACAGAGGTGGGCAACTGCAGGCCTCGAGGGTCGGAGTCATGCAGGTTTTAGATGTGTCCTTGATCCAACACAGCTGATTCAAAGGCTAAATTACCTCCTCAACATGTCTTGAAGTTCTCCAGTGGCCTGCAGGACACCGGCCCTCGAGCCTTGGAGTTGGACACATGTGAACTAATCATTTGATTCAGGTGTGTTGACCGAGGGTCATAGCTAAAATCTGCAGGACACCGGGCACTTGAGGGCTGGAGTTGCCTACCCCTGCTCTAGCAGAACCAGGGTCAGGGACAGGAAACCATCTGGCGTGACCAGCTGCGTGTAAAGGGAAGGAGACAGGACGAAAGACAATCATAAATCTACATATGAATCTGCAGTATAAAAATGCCGCAGATTGGTTTTTAAGGGTGTGGAATAACACCTCAGCCTTTTAAGATCCTCTTTGTAAAAGTGTTGTACCATGTTTTCATAATCGGTCAACCACATTCTCTATAAATATACATTCTTGTTAAATAAACCTTTTTCATCATTGAAGTAAATATTTTAAAAAAGCATTTACAACACTTCAAAATTAAAATTGAAAACATAGGAAAGTGCTTTCTTGAGTCAGAACTGTACCTGCAGTGCTGTATAGCTTGTTAGAGCGCAGTCTTTCTGCACCTCCAGATGATGCTATCGTTTGACCCACAGGTTCGCATCCACACAACGTTTATTTTCCTTTGCAGAACGGCACTGAAAGAATCTTTTGTCCCATCCAGCTACTGCAGGTTTCGCTGTGATGCTTTTTTCTGCTATGGACT